AATTCTTTTGTGATTTCTTCTTTACAAACATTTATAGAGCCTAAAAAAAGGCTTATGTATTATAAAAAATTAATCATTAAATATCTTCTATCTTTTAATATATGATTGGCTTTATTATTTATTATCTAATTTATTTATTGCCTTGATTTGTTGAATTATTTAGATTTTTTTATTTGAATCTTTTTTATAAATATTGGCAAGCCTAAATATCATACAATAGTTTTGTAGATGTAATTACCAAAGAAGACTTCATTGGAGGATCTTCCCATTAAAAAACCTTATAACTACAATCATTAGAAGAGATTTCAAATAAAGATCTTTTAATATAAAATAATTATAGCTATACTTACATATAGATCCTAGTCAAAAGATCCCTCAAGAAATATTTTTTTAGACATAGTTTAGAAAATATAATACCTTCTTAAATGATATTCGTAGACCAAGGCTTCAAAAGCATTTCTTTAAAACTAATTATTTTTAGTACATAAAAAGATCAACTTATTGCTAAAAAATTAGTGGCATATAAATAAGAAAAAAAAAATTATCTGAGACATTGTAAAAGGCTTTAAATTTTAGATTTTTTAAGATTTTAATTTTTAATTCTTTCTTTTAAATATTAAAAAAGAGATTCTAATAATAACTTTATAAAGTAAAAGTATTTTATTCTTTTATTCTTTTGATTGGCTACAACTTTATTTTTTGATTTAAAAGATAAACACTATAATTGCTCTTTGTCTAAAAACAAATTTCAATGTTTTTTTTTTGCATCCTACAAACAAACAAATATATATATATATATATATATATATATAGATATAGTCAATTCAAAAAAATGATTGTCTTATTATTTAATAGTACATTCTGTTTTGAGCAATATGATAAGTATTCACTCCCTTTTTTTATAGTAGCTAAACCATCAAATTTTGACTAAGTCATAAATAATTATATTGCTACTTGCTTCAATACTTGTATGAAAGAATATGGTCTTTTATGGTTTCATGTAACTTCAAGAAAGTTATTTAGATTATCTTTTTAAAAAAATTAAAAAAAACAACCATCATTTATAACTGAATAAAATAAATATTGTCATCTACAAAGTTATCATTTTTTCTTCAAAAATCATAATGTCTTCTTCTATCAATGATATGCAAGATAATATTATAAATCCTATCAAATTCTTATGGTAGATGACTTTAGATATTGAAACTTCTTTAATAGAGATTTTTTATGTTGTTTTCTACCTTTATACCTTGGTAGACTTGTATAACCGAACCAATAAAATGTTATTCTGGAAATTTGTATATCTTTACTATTTTTTACTATGTCTTCAACATTACAACTCCATGAGATCTTTTTTTGAAGAAAACAAAATGGATTGTAAGTTTACATGTAGGTTTTTTAACCTTAGGCATATTAAGCAAGTTATCATCAAGCTTAAGTACTTAGTAGGACTCTTATATTAAATAAGATTACACATTTTAGCAAATAGATGTAAATATTCTAATTAGTTGTAGTGAATATTTATTCTACAACTTACATAAATAAAAATATTTAGCTTATTTTTGAAATTGGATATATGACATTTATTTTTTAAAATAATTTTATCATGTTTTATTATTTGGCCATAACTAAATATACTATTAATCTAAAAAATTGTCAAAAGAGGCTTATTGTGAAAGTTTGTTTTTAATTTGCAAACTCTTATATAAAAGCCCTCTTAAAAGAGTACCTTCTGTTGGAGGATCCTTTGTCTAAAGGCTTAATAAGCCATCTTAAAAGGTACTTCTATTATAGGATCCTTCATAAAAAAAAATATTATTCTATTGCAAGATCAAAAATCCTGTTTTCTTGCTCTCAAAAACCTAAAGAGACTCCCCTTTGAAATTTTTTTAAAACTCTAAAATTAAATCATTTTCTAAAATTTATTTATATATGGCATAAATGCTTAGGTTTATACATTGATAAATCAAAGAAAATAAAAAGCCTAATAAATTGTGTTACAAAATAGACTTACTTGCTTCTATTCAGATTCTAAACAATAATGTCTTGTTATTTGTATTATTTCTAGTATTTTAACCGTAGGTAAAATTTTACTTCTGATCTTTTGGAACTAACTTAACCTAATTGAAAAATATATACATATTATGTCTTCCATTACAGCATTTTTATTGAAACTCTTTTACTAAAGCTCCTTAGCTTGTTTTCACATTCGATTTATACCCAATTCTAGTCAACATCTTGGTTGACTCCAAAAGTTTGACACCAGAGGGCTTTCAAGTTGCAATTTTAGGAAAGCCTCATGTATGCATATGATGTTATTTTAGTATCTGTGCATTGATAAAATGCACGTTAGAATTTGTTCGATCCAGTCCAACTGAATACCGTCTAGCGGTGTGGGGTTTTTTTCAGTAGATTGCAATGGAGACTCGAAGATATTGATAATGCCGCCCAATTTTCATTGCTCAAGATCAAGTACCGCTCCAGATATTTTTCTTCCTGTCACCTATTCTGGGACAGGGCCAGAGCCGGAACCTTGCACTGAATTGTGGTGTCACGATTGTTTGGAGTAATTATTCTACAAATAATTATTTTGAACAAATGACGCCGATCACATTAGATGCCAACGGTGTTAATGAGCAGAGTAGAGTAGGGTGGTCGACATCATTAATGAATGGGAAGCAGAGTTCACTGCTCCTTTTTGTTTGTTTCCAGCAGTAACACTGGGAGCCGCCGATGGAGGTGCTGGTATCTTGGAACTTCAAAGGACAGGTTGGAACTAGAGTTTTCGTATCATAACCTCCAACAAACAAGTATTCGATGTTTGCACAGGCCAGAAAAAATTACAGTCGCTAATTTCAGGATTTTATGTGTTGGTCCTGCACTTTGTGGGGGGGCTCACCTGAACAACCAAGTACTACCGTTATCGATTGTTAGAAATCAAAGACTCAGCGATGGCAGCTCAAGAATCTGTTGGATTTTTGTGCTCATTTTGGAATTGCAAACGAAAAGTGTCTAATCACAAGCCTAAGTTCAAAAGTCTGTTGACTTCTACTCAATGTAATTGCTTTCGAGCTTCTTGTCTTGTGTACCTAGTTTCCCTCGGTTATGAATCTAATGAGTTTAAATTTCGTACAATCTTGTTTTAGTTTACAAGACAATTCTTTTTATACAATTCAAGCACTGGTTACAATTCGCGGAATAAATCAATCTGGGTGCTTGAATCACACTGGATACAGTCCAATTCAGTTGTCTATTCTACAAATCTAGTAATTGTTTTGTTAAATCGTCCCATGTGGGTCTAAACGCATGTCGGGAACGTACAAGCACAGAGGTCATGGAGGTCTATTCAAAATAACGACGCAATGGACATTGAAGTGCAAAAATTGCTGCTCTCTTTCCTTTCTGAAGTCGGCAACCATATCCCAACGGGATTGATGAACTGCTACTCGCTCAATCTTGATTCATAAATACTCGCCGAAGGTGCACATTGCAGAGGTTATTAATGTGTACTAAACTAGATGCTGTCAAGGTGATTTTCATTAATGAGTTGCACCCACTTCAGCCGCACTGTCATTCCAGCTCCATTACTCCAGTCTTCCCTGCCATGCGACTGGACTTTATCAGCAGTGACCAGCAGATGTGTTCAAAAGCATTTTGTGGCTCTTGTCTAATTCAGATGTTTCCAGATGCTTGACGAAAGAAGCGGGTGGGTGTGCATTAGCGAGTGGACATTTCCTAATTCTGAGTTACTATCAACAACATCTAGTGTCCAAAGTGCATGACTCAGCAAAAATTAATTTCTGGAATTGGCGTTTCATCCTAACAAGCACTATCGATTCATTGAAATAAACTAAATTTGTTACAATCTTTTTAGAGAATTATTAGGTGTCTTGTTTAAACCCAACTACACAAATGTTGTCATGTCTAAGATTTTGGGATAGCATTATTCCATTTCTTGACTTGTACACTTGTTGATGTTATTTATCATTTATCATGAGTAGTAATTGCATGATCTCCTTTATTTTCTTTTTCAAGATTGGAAATAGCAAAATAAAAATTGTATCTATGTTAGCATTGTTTGTTATAAATTAAAAATCATATGTAAATCCCATTATTTTGATGATGATGATGATGATGATATATATATATATATATATATATATATATATAATAAAGTTTTATATTTTTTTGGTGCATTGAGATAGTTCATCAAAGTACAGAAAAAAACCATACTTTTTATTATATTTTAAATAAAAATTGGTGAAGTTTTTAATCAAAATTAATGAAAAAATTTATAGGATCAATTTTTATAAAAAATTTTATAAAAATGTTGAGGGAAGTTATGCCTCTTCTAATCTTAAGATGCAATTTTTGTTAATTTTTTATGCAACAAAAATCTCTAAGAGTAGTGTACAAAAAATTAGGGCAAGTTTCAACTTGCTATGAAATTGTTTAATATTCTGAAGCTTTAAAAATAACATGTAGAAAATTGTATGTAATGAATATTTTTAACAATCCCTGTTAAGTTATGCATTAATCAATGTGCACTCATTGTCTTATCAACTATTTTTGTAATAGTTTGCATCAAATATATTTTAATATGACAAATGCCATTAAAAATCCGCTGAATGCACCTTAAATTGGTGCATGCAGAACTAAAAAATAGCTGTTTTTTTTTTTTCTTTCTTTCTTTCTTTTCATCAATGGTAGAAAAAAAAACATAAATAAAAACAATTCGGATTGCATGAGTTGAAATGCTTACAACATGTCATCCTCACACAACCTGAAAAATTATGTGAGTCTACGCAAGTCAATACCCTTGTTTTGTGAATCAGTTTGGTGTCTCAGAGAAATCCCTAACACCAAGAGTCTGTAGCGTAACCTAATCTTAAGACCTCTGCAAAAATAAACCAACTCAATCAAACGTAATTATTCATCAACATTTTATTGATTTTGATTCCTGATAATTAATTTTTTTGTCACCTGCAAGGTTAACCTGTAACATGGATAAGGTGACATGCTATCTGTATGAGGGAAACCGCAACTGGGTGTCTGTAAAGCTCAAGGTTTTAGGGTTATAAAGAACATAGGAACTCTGTCGCAAGAGGTTGCAAGCGTGCGGTGCCCTCAGATGATGCCATGAATGCTCTACAACATTTGACCTCCTGCACAGGAAATAGGAAGCTCACTATCTTAGAACCATTGCTTCCAAGTAGTCAGGGCAGAGAACAAGGAGAATTTGCATAGAATACCATCTACTACCCAATATTTTCGGTAGTGAACTGGTTGATTGCGTTTCAACGTTGGATGATTGACCTCATTGTTACCGAAATAGAAACCCTTCCGAAAATTAGCTTCCTTGTTTCAATCTGCAGGGAGTGGAGATAGCTCTGATTCAGAATCGGCTTCCGTTTTGAAGCTCTGACACCCATTCATGTCTATTCAAGGTGTTCAGACTAAACACCACATTGGTAGTGTCACGGATTGTGAGCGGCATGAGAAGCCAGGTTGAGGATCTTGTGAATGATTAAAGGGAGAAAAGAAGCCATGGAAGTGGGTAATGTGAAAATGAAGCTGCCAGGAATGGATCCCCTTCGGATGTGGAAGAATCCAGGTCCGTGAAGGAACAGAAAGATAGACATCATGGAACACTGGGAATTGTTGCGTGCAACTAAAATTGGTTCTTCGTTCTTGTGGGGTCAAACTTCGAAGACTGGTCGAGCCTCTGTCCGTCAGTCATGTGTTCTCAACTCTTCATTCTGTGTTGGAATCTGGGAACGCATAATGTATTGGAGAATGTCGATCTTTGGAGTTCTGCGCAATGGATTTCGTGTGCCATTTCGCCGACAACGCATTGGAACCTGTGTTGGATGATTGACTTGGGAATGTGGATTGTGATCTCTGAAGAAGACAGACACTACCATGTGCTCAGGTCGGCATCACTGTCAGCCCCTGCTCTGTGCAGGTGATTGTGATCCAAAGCCGTGCAATGCACTCCACAGATGGATTCAAATGTTTCAGCGACGCAACCTCGTCACAGAGCTTTCACATCTGAGCCTGTGGGTGTAATCCATTGGCTGAACTTGAAGCCTGGTTCGGATTCTGGCGACCCTCTACAAATTTGAAACCAGATCACAAAGCTCATCAGTACGACATTCAGGACTCGATCGCAGGTTTCTCCGTGCAATCACTTCCGTTCACCAACGAGAAACTCCTACCATGGACTCTAGAGTAGAAATCTGTTTGACAATTCTGTTAACGCTGGCCGAATTGCCATGGATTGTGATCAGTCCCTCACAGACCTGATTACGAACTTGACGCAGAGTACGTTACACATAGCCCTGCACAGATACTGGTTGAACAATACGCAGACATGCTTGAAGACAATTTGGCCGAAGTGTCAAGGTTAAGATAGCGGGAGTTGGTAAGTTAGTTATTTACGCCGTGCACATTCAGTACGAATGTATCACAATGCGTTGCTTACAGTCAAGTTTTTATAATGTTTCGAATTCCAGAGTTCAAATTGCAAGACGAAGCCCATGTAGACCGTTGCAGTATTCTGCCCAAGAGACCGTCAAATGGATAGCACTCATGTTGTGGCGAGTGTCAGAACCTTGACCTGGCCCCAAACCGAGAGGAATCATCATCATCAGCTCACTCTCCTGATTGACAAAGCAGGTGCTATCCGTTTTGTTGGACTACTTCAACTCTCTTCAAGAGTCGTGCCCGGTTCTTCCAATTGCAATTTCTTTAGTTTCTACATCCTTTCCATTGGACTTCGGCATGGCTACGGATGGTGCGGCAACCCCTGCGGACATTCACAACGGCGGCAAGGCGCATTCTGGGACGGGATAGCGAATTACTGGGTTTAGATTTCCACTAACCGACTCCGAGGGAGTCGGCAGAACTGCGTACCTTGAGGGTAGCTATCACACGCCCCCCGCCCTTGCCGCTGCTTTTTATACTCGTATACTTCTATTTTTGAATCTCCTCTTCTCTAGCATCTCGTCACGCCTCAGCAGATTCTCTTGACCAGCCAGGCGCGAGAATTATGTTTTTGGGAAGCTCAAACGATCGCTAAATCTTAATGTGGAACATGGCATGGCGTTAGGAGAAGCAAGACGTGCTGTTGCTGAGGTGGAGTTCAGGCAGGAAGGTTTGGAGAATGTGGGCGGGAGGAGGAGTGGCGGGGGTTTAGGGAATGGTGGGCGAATTGCTGGGATGACTAGTGCAGAGATGGTGAAGGAGGCGAACGGCCTTGCAAAGAGAGTAGTGTCTTCGTTTGAGAGCCGATATGGTGGTAGGAAAGTGAGTACAAGGATTGTGAGAGCGCGGCAGAATTCCCGAGCTGAGGACAGAAAGCGTGATGGTTTCCCACGAGGTTTTTCTACAGTAAGTTCCAACTCCAGGTTGTGTAGAATGGTGAGCGGCGATGGCCTTGGGGGAGATGGTGATAGAGAGGACTCGAGCAGGAGCATCATATTGAGTTTTGATGTTGAGCAAATGGGCTTGGGCATTGTGGACGAATCACCTGTATATGGCGATAGATCAGGTTTGACGCCAGAAAATGGAAGCTTTCATTTAAATCCGAAAAATGACGTTGTGAGGAGCGATAGTAGCGATGGAGGGGAAGTGCGACTGGATGCCAGGTTGAGTGGCGCAACTTCCAAAAAAGATGGCCGTAGGAGGCGCATTTTTTCGAAGAGGAGAAAATCCGCGGCAGAAAAAGTGACTCCTGATGATGGACTTCCGATCAGAAACCATCTGCGTGCCGACTTCGATTCTGAGGCAGAGAGAGCTCATGGCACTGAGTGTGATGTGTTCACTGCTTCACGTCTGCTTGCTAAGCCACAGGCGACTAGGGTACGTGTACTTTTTTCCGAAGCTCAAAAATTACATTTCTATCTTTGTTGTGATTGTAACCGAATGATCATCAAAGGGGTAGCGTTATTGCTTAGTGATTCTGAGCGGAACTATCCAGGCTTTCAAGCATGTATCATTTCGCACGCTGAGTTCACGAACGCGTCTCTTCTTCTTCTTCTTCTCCTATTTTTTTAACGTATTAAAACCTTAACATGTCAAATCCGATCGTTACATGGTAGCTTTGTAGGTGTGTACGTCTCGGTAATTACACGATTCGTGAAAGTAAGTCCCATGCAAGAATGACGACCTTGTTTCCACCTCCCAGATAATCATGAAACTGTACATATCGGACATTAGAGAGGAAGTTACATGAATTTCTCGCTTGTTTGTTATATCGGAGTGATATTGTTGTTAAAGCCTCGTTCATCTGGTGTCTAGTGTAGACATCGTTTGCGGAGTCTTATTATGACGTAAGAATCATTGCTTTGCATGCTTTCTTTGTCGCTTTTAGCGAGCTAAGGTGCTGAAGAGATTCGCATTCATTATTGTAGAAAATAAGGGGAGGCTCACTGGCAAGAATATACATAAGAGTTTGGAGTGATTTGAGGTCACTTGGTTTCTGATACTTTCAGCCTTTCCGCTTCCTCTGCCTTGTAAATATCAATTGTTTAGCTTCTTATATGGTTTGTTTTCGTAAGCCTGATCTGCCGAAGATTTGGATTTGGTTGGATTGAGCTCTGAATTATGCTCTAAATATTCTAATTCTAATGGCTATACTTTAGGATGAGTATGTGAGCAATTACAGCACGCCGCTAGACGCAAGAGCTCAAATGAACAATTCTGGAGTCGATGACGTTTACGACGCACAAGGTTGGAACAATTTGAACACACGAGGGAAGAAACCCGAACCCCGATATTTCGTAAGCTTCTGCCTCAAGCTCTACAAGCATTTTCCTACAGCTGGTTGAGATTCTCTTGTATCAAAGTTTCTTCTGACCGTTGAACTTCTTTAGCTGGTGTAATGGCTACTAAGTGTTGGGCAATTCTATGTTTGTGCTGGATTCCCTCTACTATTTAAACATTTTGTGTAATATATGCATCTGAAGGATTGGTCCTAAGACTTCTGCATTTTAATGCGAGGACCATGGCTATTTCAGCATGCAGCAGCTGTTGTGGGACGCAGGATGGTGGTGGTCGGCGGCCAAACTGGTTCAGGGCCTAGCAACGATGTCCAGGTATTTGTATTGTAAATTGGTTTAGATTTTCATGAATATGGGAGGATTTCAGTTATCATTATTATTACTTCATTGATTCGATTGTTGCTAAGTCTCTGTTACCATATCTAAGCTTTTTTGTTGTCTTTGTAGGTCTTACACTTCAGCAAAATGATGTGGTCCGAACTGGGTAGAGATACACCAGTTGCAAAGGGACGCGCTACCACTTTGAAATCTGCAACGCCAGGCCGGATGCCGCTATGCAGGGGTCATAGCCTGGTAAGCTCTTCACCTTTCTCACCATCCCTGTTGGGATCTATGCTAGGCAGATGTGAGGGTCTAAGTGTGTACTAAATTTGATCCTAAAACTGAGGCTGCAGATTTCATGGGGAAAGACCGTTCTTTTAATTGGCGGGGAAATGAATCCGGCTAGCGACAAAGTTGAAGGTGTTGCATTTGAACTTGTGTCTTTATGTTTATCTTCATTTTATAAATAATCAATTCCTCTTGAATGCTGTTTGTCTTATTTTAACACATATATCAGCTATATCTGGTCTTGTATTTCCAAAGATTTCTGCACATGTTGCAGCGTGTGGTGTACGACTCTGATTAGCTCTGCAAAGTCTGTTCCAAGTTATGCATGCACTTTGACAGTTTTATAACTATATCGAGTTCTTGCCTGCAGTCTGGTCTTTCGATCTGGAGACAGAGTGTTGGTCAAAAATCGCTGCTAAAGGAGAAATTCCGGTAAGTGCCCTCGTTTTTTTTTTTTTTTTTTTTTTTTTTTTTTTCCCCTTACAATGTTTTCTCGTAATGCCTACTAAGCAATTAGAAATTTCTCTTGTGGGAAGTTACAGGTGTTGCTTAAACTATAGTGTTGCAAGTCTCAATTAAATTAGAGGGTCGTATATGCGTTATTAGGGATATCCCCATCTTTCTAACTGAGTGCATTTTTTGTTCTTGGATCAAGTTCACTTAGATTTTCCTTTGATCCATGTCGAGATGCACAATGTTTGCAGACAGCGAGGAGTGGTCAAAGTGTAACTAGAGCAGGGAGCATACTCATCATGTTTGGAGGGGAAACACCAAAAGGGCAGAAGCTAAATGACCTTCACATTCTGGACTTGAAGTCTCTCATGTGGCTGCCTCTGAACACTGTGTAAGTTTAGTAGCTGTTTATGCTGGGAAGCTCTTTAATTGGAACGCTTGATCGGTTGTCGTCAGTTCTCTTACTAAAAATCATAGAGCCTTCAAAGCTAGTTTAATGATTACTTACGAAGAAAAATGTTTCCCAGTAGATGCTGAGATTTCCATGGATCATGGTGCAGGAGTACCGGCCCTTCACCACGCTCAAAGCATTGTGCTACAATGTATGATGACCGCTTTCTGCTGATATTTGGTGGATCTTCTAAATCCAAGTATCTCGATGATGTATGTGCTCTGGATTTTGAAACGGTATGTGGTTCTTTGGCCAGTAAAAACCAATTGTTTATGTTGTCTATTTAAGGATAGTGATATTTTCTTAATGTCATGTAAAAAATAGAAAATAAGTCAGCCACTTACAACGTGTTCAAACATTGCGCAGGTGGAGTGGTCTAAAATGAAAACAAAGGGCATTGATCCTTCCCCTAGGTCTGGCCATGCTAGTATTTTGGTCGGTGATAAGTGGTACATTGCCGGTGGAGAGACTCGTGGACATGGTGAGTTATGGGGGTTATGGTTTTGACATTTTTCACTCATTATTTTAGAGCACTTCTCTCAATTATTTTGTCACAAAAGAATATAATGGATGTTATCATCAAATAGTTCAGCATGAATGTGTTGCAGGCTCATTGGAAACACTGATGCTTGATGTTTCCAACTTAACTTGGTCTGCGGTTGCTGGAACTACTGCAAATACAACTGTTGCCAATCAGGTAATCTGGTATTCGATGTTATGAAAGAGGCCATCAATCGTCTTCTATTTGCTGCATACCATCAGCTTTGCGTCTATCTACATCGCATCTGCAGCATCAAGTACTATGTCCTAGCATGCATGCTCCAGAATTTTTCTTCTTTCTGTCAGGGTCAGGAAAGTTGTAAGAACATTTGCTTATCAAATAAAGAATTCGTACATGGTTGAATCTGTCATGTTAGACGAAGATGGTCTGACTCTAGAATCTTACTTTTGATTTATGCCAGGGTCTGAGCTTGGTACTTGTTCAACGAAAGGAGAAGACAATGCTAGTAGCTTTTGGGGGAAAGGGATCTGAACTTTCTAACCAGGTCCTTGCTATTCTCTCTGCTAAGAACTTCATTTTTTCAATGAGACTGTCACTGGTAGCTTCAGTGCAATGTGTATGGATGGTCCTCATTCAAGGTGTGAAAAGTATTGTAAAAGTTTTGGGCTACGCTAGCTGACTGACCAGGTATACTCATGTGAGTGCAAACAGGTGGATCGAATCAGTATATATTCATTTCACTTCCAAAGAAGTCAGTTGGCTTGACACGCTGCAAATGGAGTTATGATCCAAATGTTGTCTCTTTTTTGTCTTCTTGTATGCAGGTACAAGTCTTGTCTGTAGTGCCCTTGGATCATGTGAAGACTTCTTCATACAGTGGTAACTCGGCCACAACACCAAGCATGGCTGGATCAGGTCTATCATGTGTAAACTTGGCAAAGACCCAGCTGGATACTCTTGAAGAAGAACAATATGGTTCACGCGCTTCACAAGGCAATTCTCCAGTGATAGAAAGTTTTAATTCTACTGATATTGTTCCACTGCGGAGGCGATACAGCACGAAATTGGATGGCACACGTCAACCACCAGGAGAGATTTTATCAAGAGTGCTGAGAGAAACCCCATCGCATGAGATTCCATCGCCTCTACAACACAAATGCAAGGTTAGAGAGATGCTCTTGGCAAAGTCATTTGCAATTCAGTATTTGAAACTGAAATCTGTGCGCTTATTTGTACCGCCTGGATTCAAGAATATGATTGTTACTGTTTTCAAGTCATCAAGTAACAAATCGATTTTTTATGTCGAAACAAATAATGGCTGGCAGTTACTTAAAATATTAGTTTTTATCAGGTCCCAAATATGCAATCAAAAGAGCTAGAGATGAGGGATAAGCTGGCTTCCATTGTCACACGGAACTCAAAAAGTGCTCGGTGGCACGGAAGTTCCTCTAGGAGGAAAGGATCCTTCGACTCAGGCATTCTTACATCGGTGAACGAAAGCGCTGCATACGTAGGCTCTTCAAGAAAGGGATCATGGTTGAATGCTGATCTGAGTATTCGATCGAAGTCGTATATAAGTGACAGAAGTGATTACAGCCTCTACACAGCGCCTCAAAGCCAGCGCTGGGAAGGGGAAGTAGAATGCAGTGACGGTCAGCTGCTTGCAGACCTCCAGGATGCTGTGACCATGGAAAGGCGCATCCATTTGATTAACAAGTACAGACAGAGTTTTGAGATGAAATTAGCAGCTGCTGTGCGCAGGGCTGAACAAGCAGAAGGGCAGGTCACAACTGCTCTTAGAGCTAAAGAGGAGATAGCGAATAGGTTGGCATCCGCATTAAAGATGCGGCAGCACGCAGAAGGACAGCTTGCTGCAGCATTGACAGCACAGGCGGAGCTCAAAGAGACCGTGGCTGCCGCTGAGAGAGCCCAAGAAGATTCCAACAACCTGTGCAGTGTGGTTCACTCGGAGAACTTGCGGTTGGAACATGACCTTGCCTTTCTTAAGGCTGTGCTTGAGGACACACAAAAGGTATGTGTAGAACATGATTGACTTAATATCGTTTATTGTTTCCCATGTTCCTGTCCTTTGTCTAGGTAACTGCGTACTAGTTGGTACATCCCTAATTGCAATAGATACTTTTTGTAAGTTAAGTGTTCACGAGGTCCCATTCGGACTGGACCATGTGTTGATAGAATCACTTCTATGATCTCCCCATCTTGAATCCAGACTCTTGTTTCAGACTCTTAAGTAGTCTTCATTGTTGTTGGACACATGAGCTTCGTTTATCTTGTGTGCTATTCTGAAATCGTAAGCGCACTCTGGTTTTGCAAGTGAATCCCTGGTCTTTCATTTTATTCAAAGCTTCAAAGTTCCGTTTGTCTGCAGGAATTGGACTCCACCAGGGAGGGGCTTGTCACTGAAAGATCAAAATCCTTCAAGCTCCAGGTGAAGCCTTCTTTCATTTATGTTATCTTTAATCAAACCATGCACTTCTTCTAAGGAGTCATATCTGTCGATCTGTCTCTCTTTGTTTGAGTACTAATATTATCACACTTGGTCATTAGTGCATTTTCTTGGACGTAGAGCAAGATTCAATGTATGTTCTGCTATTCATTGCTGCTTTTAATCTGATCTTGACCCCCTTTAATGTGTTTGAACTTCAGATGGAGATATTCGATCTAAAGAAGAAAACACTGCTCTCACTTTCTGAAGAAGATGCAACACCGAACTCAGCATCTCAACCTTTGCCTGCATCTGAAATCGCATGAGCTTGGACATTTGTAGACCCCATCACAGCGGCTCATGTACAGATCATAGTTCTAGATCAGTGAATATTATTCGCTTCTTTGTATCAAAGACCTCAACTTGTTTCCATCCACTCTTTACCATTTTCTCACACGCATGTGCATTACCACAAGTGGCGTAAGTATCTTTGGAAGACGATTGCTGACTGTATTCCAACTGTCACACAAGTGGCAAGTCAAACTGAAATGAAGGACATCATCCACCCATATTAAAGAATTTGCACGCATCTTCTATAAATTAGCCAATCAACTGAATAGACATTGAAAGCTACTATCAAGCAACTGGTTTGCAAAAGCGAGGAAATCATTTTGTGTAGTATGATATCATGTTTCAAGTGTAAAAGTGTGTGGTAGCAACAGCAATGAAAGCAAGATAAAGCCATTTAGACCTATCATCCATGTTAATTATCTAATTATAAAAACTGTCATTCATGTTAGTTATCATGATACATGACAATGATACATGTAAAAATTTAATGAGATGGATGGTTTTACATCTAAAAAAATAACAATTTTTCAAAGAATATTTATGCAAATCTTAATGATTGAGTATGAAGACAAAGAACAAAAAATTAAATTAAACTCAGATTAAATAAATAAATTAAGATTTATATTAGTAAGAACCAAATTACTTCAAAAGCAACTTTGAATAATATTGCAATGTCATATCATGATTGTGCATAATATATAAAAACTAGTTGAGAATTATAAAATATATTAATTTTTAATTTATATTTTTTATTAAATATAAATTTAAAAATATTAGGTATTATGAATAATTAATTATTTAAATTATAGATTAAAATAAAGGTAATGACAATGTAATTAGAATATAAAAAAATAGGTGTGAGAATCCTATTAATAAAAAGTATCATAGTTTATTAGAATAACTTAATTTATAGAAAAAAAAAATTGTAGAAAGAAGAATTATAGCTTGTAAAAAATAGAGATTTAAAAAAGAAAAAGAGATTGGACAATAAGGTTATAGGAAGAAGAATTGAAGCTTTATACATCAAGTGTGGCTTAGGACTTGTAGAGATGGATAGATGATAAGATGATTCGATGGTATCTAGGAGGTTTTAGAATTGAAATTCTATGATAGTATATATGATAGAAAAAAGAATATTCTTTAAAAATCTTCAATTTACTTATTGAGAATATTTAGAAGGTTGGCCCTACAATGCTCACATTAAAGGATTATGTTAAATGATAAGGATACTTATCACCTATGGGCAATGTCATATTACGTGCTATCTTGCTTGAGAACGCACCGGGAGTCTGGCTGTGGAAGATAAAACGATGTTTTGCAAGTATCCAAGTAGTCTAGTGGATTTCAACCATCTAAATACAAACTATTTTGGATTTCAATATAAAAGCTTAATCTGAATACAAAGTGCTTAGAAACACTATTTTAAATAATTTCAAGATATTATAAGCACAAATTTTTTTGTTATTTGTTAGTTTTATTTTATTTTATTTTTATTTTTATTTTTATTTTTAAATCCTAACCTTAGACAGCGAGCTTTGACAAGCTATAATTCTCAATTTGATTGTCCGATTGTTGTAAAACTTCTACCACTAGTGTCTTTGCAAGTCTTGTAAATGCTCAAGAAGTTTCAATCCAATCTAACTACCAGATTGCAAGAAAATGCCATAAATCTACACTAATGTCTCTTGACCGTTGCCTAGAAAGTTGATGACGAACCTTGACTTACAATTTGTCCTTCTCCAACCATTAATTCTTATTCAAACCTTGTGTACAGCTCCGCCTTTAAGTCCTCAACTTACCATGTTAAAATTCACCTTATTCAAGGTGATAGATATCCAGATATTACAGAAATCCTAAACAATCCCAATATGCCAACTTTTGATACCTCTTTACACTAATGATCAAATATCCTCTATCCGTACCATTAGATTAATACAAATTTTTGCATGCACTTGGCATACTCAACCATCTAGACATCTCTAAAATTTCAACTGCAAATGTTTCTCTAATTTCACAAAACAGTCAAGAATATTAGTCTTAACTTTATTGCAAAAAATCCAATTCACCAATATAAACACTGACTTTGAGTAACGATTGCAAAGTCCTCCCAAACCCTATGAAATCAAGTCCTACACCTTTAGAAGGAGCTTGAAGCTAGCTCTTCGACTCCAAAATCCTTATCTCCGAATGTCCTCTTCTTTTTCATCTCTTTTCTTTTAACTCCGTGAGGTCTCCTATTCTTCTACCCTGGACTCGGAATTGGAATAACAAATCGCGCTTCCATAGAATTCCTGCCTCTAAGAGGATTTTTCTACGAAAAGGACATTTTTCCAAAATGGCATAGAGAACGGAATAGCTTGAAGTGGAACCGAAGCCTTCATAATCGGGACCTCATTGGGTTGCCCAACCGAGTCAAGTCTCATACTGGGTAAGAGGCCTATAACAGGACCTAGATTGGATGTCCGCGTAATTGAGTCAAATTGGCCCTTTGCATTAGGCTCACCCAAATGTTGAATTGGTCCTTTCTCCTTTTGTCGACTCCTGGTAAGAACGGCTTGGGCACATTCCACCCGATTTACCAGAGTATCTTGAAGACCTCGATTTATCTCCTCAATTTTTCCTTAGCTTTGGATCTCCTAATTCCGATTATTGAAATTGAACGGAGTATTACATTGCTGATAAGTATGCCTCGACTGCTTGCAATTTCTACACACTGATGTGTAATCGTCACCAGCTTTAGGATTGGGACATTCACTAGCATAATGACCAATCTATTTGCAACGGAAATAAAGAAGTGGTCTTCTTGCAACTCCATCGAGCATATTGGGTGTCTCCACCAATATATACCTACTACACTTGTTTCATGTAGGGTTAGAAAATGATCCTTGTTGTTCCGTTGGTACAAAGGGTACTTGGTTTGATGACGGCGGTGGAACATATTGCTGATATCAGGTATGGTGGTATAGCTTGCAATGGGGTGATATTAGCTGGCCCCTGAATATTGGCATTGGAATTGGCCACTGTTTCTAACATCCAAGATGACTAAATATTAATAAAATCCTTTTCATTTATATTTTCACCATATAGTCATGTTACAACACGACAACGTGTCCATAGTCATTATCTAATCTAAAGTTAGTTTTTGTTGTCATACTAGGTATTGTGTTGAAGCTACCATGAGCTACTCTTAAAAAGTCAATAGGGAGGTGAAAAGGCATAACAATTAGTAATAAAACCACCTTCTATTATTCTATTTTTAAGAAAGAGAAGGAATCTATTCTCTAGTATCTCATTTATAGCTTACAAGAATAGCTTTGATTTTCTCACCTCTAGAAGGTGCTTCTCAGATAATAGAAGTTGCCCAAATTTCTTCTCAAACTCCCTTAGCAACTCATTAGGTCTCATATATTAATATGATTGTTACTCCAGTCAATCAACAAAACCTCTCCTAGTCATCTTTTCATTGTCTTCATCAAAGTATTCATCCTTCAATCTGTCCTCAAATCTAATCTATGTTTTTACATCTATACCCCCATGTAGTTGTTCTATCCTTTCTCTAATTTCTAAAATAATCGCTAAATCAAAGGTTTCAATTATCTTATCTTCTCGAACTTGATAGATTTCTAATTTACAAGTATAGACCTTCAAAAATTTAGTGATATTCTTCCTATTAAACCTCTCCACTTTGCCAATAACATCCTTCAATGCTTTGATAGTCCTTTACAAAATTGCATTAGCAACTTAGTGATCCATCAACATTTGCATAGCTCTTAAAAATTCATCTATAAGATTTTGACTACCTCCATTATTTGAGCCTCCTTGCTTTGTATCCCCCATCTTGATTTGTTGAAAAATTAGTGCCTTAAGGCTCTTTCAATGGAAGCACCAAAAATGTCGTAATAGAGAGAATTACCTCAAAAAAGCATTCGACCTCTAGCTACCACTAAATGCTCAAATAAGTTGCAAGATTATAAAATACAAATATGATTTATAGCTTGTCTTCAAGAATATAATTACATCAAATATACAAGTCTAGGATGCACAAGAGTACCCAAGATATGACTAGATATCCTAAAATTACTTCTACTTGTAAAAAAATCCCTTCTGTATATGTATTAATCAATAACTTCTAATCTAACCATCTAATTAGATTCAAAATTCTCTACAAGTTAACTTATATCTTTGACTACCTCCAAACAAAAAATCAACCATAAATACATTACAGATCTTTGGATATTTCTTAATCTCTAGCAAGTGCTAAACATGTCAATTTTTAGGCACCTATGTACTAATTCCTTCATATCTCAAAAATCCGAAATTCAAATACTATGAATTTTTCATGTGCAAATTTTCAACATAATTATCTACATTTGTAGAAATTTTTAGCCAAAAACTTATCTCAAAACTCAAAATATGGCAAAAATCAAAACCTCCATTAAAAACAATTCACTTACAAATTCCAATTTTAAATACTAACTTCCAACAATTCTTTCTCTTTTGTTCTATATTGGAATGTATCAATGTATTTACATAAAATGTAGCTCTTTAAGTCAAATTTTTAACCTCACTTTTTAATTCCTCAAAGTTTTCTTACAACTCTCTATATGCTTAAAATAATAATAATAGATACTAAAAATACACCTTAACTTCAAACAACCATAACTCTCTTATTATCACTTCTAATTATATATATATTTTTAATCCAAATTCTAGCCCAAAATACAAGCTTTCCAAATCTAGCCTCCACACTTGGAATGAATCATCTTTCCTTAAATGGTCCACTTTGCCTCAAATGGGTTACTCAATAGTGGTTCCAAATTCCAATGTGGTCTAAATTAACATCTCAAAGCCTATTAGGCTTGTCTTCAACCAATAGAAATGAAGTCCTTTGTCACTTATCTTATCCACCTACATAGGATGGCCTATGAATCAAAATACTATATCTTTGATTCTAAAGCCTTTCTAAACTTTTTACTAATAAATTCTATAACTTCTATCTTTAATTATTAAACTTGAAAAATAAATTTAAACAAATTAGATAAGTTTTTTATTTTTTATTTTTTAAAATTATAATCCAAAATTTTATAAAATTTTATCTTATTCTTAAATAATATTCTACTTTTCAGCATAATATTATTATCGTATTACGTAAAGTCTTGCTTGAGAGTGCATCAAGCATCTGATTGTCGAAGGTAGAATGGAAATTGTAACAACAAAATCCTAATTCT